CGAATCCCCAAACGCTGCCATCCCTTTCCTCTGTTTTGATTGCCTCTTTATGTTGACTGCAGCCCCCAAATTTGAGTTAGCGGCTGTAACGCTGTACTACCGCAGGTAAAACTGGTTTTTGTGCCTATTACGGTATATTACTCTATTTCTGCCTCGTAAATCAAGCCTAAAAGACCGTTCTGCTACGATTTCAAGGCAAAAGAATCACAGTGCAACGGAGAGCATCTCACCAACAAAAGCTGTTCAACGATCTTTGATCTAACAGATGGACAAAACCGCATTTCCTATAACTAGTGTGCTCATCTCTGTCCCGCTTACCATATAGCATAGGTCACACCATGTGTCTGGGACGTTGCAAAAGGCTTTGTTCAGTAATATATGAGTATCATTGAAAAAATCGGGTGACTGTGATTACCACTGTGGCTATTTTGTCCTTACAAATAAGCCAAAACCTAAAACCAGGAAAGAAAGTTTTGAACCGATTTCACTGAGTCGTGGGCTCAGTTCTCATCATCGTCCTTCCATGTTACTCAGCTTCCTACGGACTTGGCATTCATTGGCCTGTATTTATCGTCGCATGGAATATGCAATATTCCCTTTGTCCCGAGGGCGCTGTCCGAAGCCCTCGTGGATGACTACAGTCATAAGTGGAGAAATTTTACTAGCAAAGACAAAGGAGGTTGGAGTAGCTCTCTTTCGCAGTTATCTGCCGTCGTCAGACAGCCACAGTCCAAACCCAAACAGAGCAAACTGCCTGTGTTTATGGAGAACAGCTAGACTGGAGTTTTGAGGCAAAACGCCCATGTGACTTCCAGTAATTCTAGCTGTCGAACATGGTGCAACCTTGGGTACTATTGCACCGTATATATTTGCATGCCTGCTGGGGTGCATCAACAGGTGGGTCACAGAGAGAGAGAGAGAGGGAGAGAGAGAGAGAGAGAGAGAGAGAGACAGACAGACAGACAGACAGACAGACAGAGAGAGAGAGAGTGAGAGAGAGAGAAAATAAAGGCGAGTTCCCGGTGCAACCTTTTCATTGGACTTGCAGGATGTTAAACGCGCGAAAAAAGGTTTTGTTCATTCGACTGCTAACGGTTCTAGGAAAACTCCGGCATTCTGGTCGCTGATTGGCCAGCTCCGTTGCCAAAACCCCTTTGTGAAAAAGCCTTGGATGCCCAGCTCGTCATTGATTGGGTCGCACGTGGGGGCTACACGTTGGTTCGACAATGCAGCGCACGTTAATTGGTCACCTGATTTTACGCGTGCAGCGTGCGGTCACGCCTTCCGTTCACTTTGGATCATGACTCCGTGATCTTTCTGTTCTGAGTAGTACAGCCAGTCCCTACTCATAAGTAACCCTTCTTTGCGCGGGGCTCCTCGATGCAGTAGGTATACCATCAGAACATTCATTTGTTTTGGTAGGTAACTGGTTTAGATGAAGTTTAGCGGCTAAATTAAGAGGTGTCAAATTACAACCGAAAATAAAATTAGACATGGTTTCCTCGACAGGTCACAGATCACCTTACCGGTTCAGCATATTTGGGAAGCGAGTCCAACGCAGCCATTACGAGCGCAAACATATCCACTTTCTAGAGTTAAATTCATTTTGTGAATCCTGAGACAGAAGAAGAAGAATGCTATATTGAGGATTTTACAAATTTGAATTTTCAGCAAAAATGGCTCCATTCACGGAGAGCAGATGGTAAGGTAA